AGGTGTGTTATGTCCACTGCTTGAAACCACTAGTAAAACTATGGTTATAAACTTAGCTTTATTTAGGGTGATTTAATGAAGATTCTTATCTCGTTCCTACTTAAGAGACCCATGAACTTTCTATTTGAGAATGAACCCTTTTGAAATATTAATAGAAGAACACAATGGAAATGGTAATTTTAAAAAGATAGAGTGTTTTTTTTACAGATGTATTTTTCACATATTTTGTTCTTTTAATAAATGAGAATGTTTTGACAAAATTTTTCAGTATTGTTTTCTAGTGACAAAAATATTGATGCATTGAGATCAAATGTTATGTGCATTCATATTTCATGACTGCAATTACACCTAACAAGCTATGTTAAACAAGTTGTTGCTGTTTTTTTGTATTTTGTTTTCTCATATTGTATTTATTTTACCAACAGGATAAGCTGTTGGAATGGTTTATAACCTCATGTCTTCTGAAGATGAAATACTGGATTATTACAACACTATGGAAACTCCATGCCTGGTGATATTTGCGTCATTAATGACAGAATAGAACTGATGACAAGGTAGATGGTTAATTCATTAAGAACAAATGTCAACTGAATGTCATTGTAGGTTTCAAGGTTTTTGCCTGTGTTCTATTCTGACCTCAAAAGGCACTGTACAAAATGATGTCTGTAATCTCGCTTTGTAATAAAAAATATTGTCTAGTTTGATTCCAATGCAGAGGTAAGCAACTTGATGCCATGAATGAATAAAAGTGTACATTCTAATGTGTTTAACCAGTGTTGAGAAAGAATCTATTGGTAAACACGGTTCAGTACAATGGTTTCAGTTTCATAACATTAGAAGCAAGACTTCTTTCAAGTTATTTCCTTTGGAAGTTCTGTATCTATTATTCTCACCATATTCTTTTTGCATACTTTTTATCAGTATTACTTTGCTATTGTACATCTTTTTAAAGTACAAACATTCTGTAGTCAAGCCAGTCTTCCACTAACAGAAATGGAAAAAAACCCAAATGAATAAGAGCAATCATTAATTTGATTACTGTTGTTTCATTCAGGTTTCATATTTGAAGACAGCCCTTTTATGAGCTCAGATATCAAACTGTAGCAGACTTGTTTGGTTGGTACAAATTTTTTAATGTATTCTACTGACAGTTAAAATGAAGAAAGTAATAAATCTGCATTTTTAGTGAGATAATACAGTTGAGCTATTATTGATGGTTCCTTAAGAATCAGTCTTGTTGACTTACTTCATTGCAAGAGTTCCTTTTCATTTTTCTTTTGGAATCATAATAAATACAGCCAAACATTTATTTCTTTATCGTCTACAGTAGAAAATTATCAGGCAGTATGTGCAAGTCTGATAAAAACAGGAAAAGAAACACAGAATACAGATCAAGAGTATAGAAGAAGGAAGAGATACACTATAATACATATTGGTAATATAATCAAGGTTGATACCAACAAAATTAAAGATATTTAATTGGTATTTTTGGTATAGAAAAAAAAAGTTTGTGGTCAAAAAGTGTCAAGTAAACTCTAGTAGGCACAAACCCTTGTTTTAGGAGCTTATGGGGTTACATTTGAGATTGCTGCCCTTCCTCAGAGGAAGGCTAGGTTTGCTTGCTCTGTGCTGGACAGGGGAAAGCTGACAGATGGCTTTTAGAGGGCAATTTCTAAAGGGTATAGATTAGAGGATTAGGGCCTAAGCAACCTGCTGGAGGACAAAAGGATCTGGAAGGGCACTAAGAAATGCACCAATGTGAATACCTGCTGCAGTTACAGCAGATTTTTAAACAGTTGTTTTAATTACAAATCATTTTGGGATACATGTTTGGTGTCCTTTCTAATTACTCAGCATGAGGTACAAGAAACATTGTGGCAAATGTCAAGCTAAAGAGACTCAGAGCATGAAAAACGCTGTGACTAGCATGAAACGAAAGCCGAATGAAGAAACAGAAGCAGACAGCACTGAGCTCAATTTCTAGACAAAAAAATCCCGTACAGGCACAGAAGTAAACACCAAGTCTGTGCTGAGAGATGCCTAAGGGAATAAAGATGAAAAAAATGAAGGCAAAGCTTTTGGTACTGTCTTACTGAGGAAAAAAAAAAAGGTGATACCACCTCCAGGACTAATGCCTGAAGCACTGGCACACTCATGCGTGTCTGATGAATACTAAAGCCCATGAAAGACCAAGACTGTAAAGAAATAAAAGCCAGAAGTGGAAGAAGAAATAGATCCACTATAAAATGCCCCTAAGCAGGCTGAGGGAATCCAGAAGGCAAACCAGAGACAGATCTAAAAACGTGAACTACGCATTGTATCAGGCCGCATATAAATCAGAGGGAATAACAGCCATTTTTTTGGAATATTCCAATGAGCTTGTGAAACTGAGTTTGCCCTAACTCAGTGCTGTCTCTGCCCTGGGACGAAAAGGCAGAAATACGACCTGAACACCTACAATCAAGGAGTAACACAACAGTGTGACTGTAGTTGATGCAAACATTGCTCACACACTGCAGCAGACAGCATGTGACACACGACTGATGAGTTTGCAGCTATGCTTTTGCATCAAGAGCCAGCTAAACCTTCCTGTAGATTACAGAATAAACTACATACAACCCATGAGAAATAGCAGCAATATTGACTGGACAAGTGTGCTTAAACTATTCTGACTGTTGATGAAACCTAGCATTTTAAATGTCTCATCCCCTACAAGTTATCCTTCATGTAAGGATAATTTTCTACAGTTCTTAATTGCTCAGCACAAGTAGCAGATATCTGCTAGTAGAGTCCACAGATGATAACCTATGTTTACCTCATTCCAATGCTACATGACAGAAATTTGGTGGGGTTTTTTCCATTTCCTTTTTTCTTATGTAGCAAACCATATGCAGTGACCTTAAAAGAATGTAATTAAAACTACAAAGTCAGGTATTCCAGAGAATGACAAAATTAAGGTCACCTGTCATACAAATGTCAGAAGGTTCAGGAGTTGTTATGTGAATAGGATGTTTTTAAGTTTTATTTACAGAAAATATGTTCATTACTTCTCATGTCTGAAACTTTTCTTGGTAAGCCGAAGTCACCTTTTGGTAACATTTGACCCAGCTTTTCATTCAGTACAAACATCAGGACTTATGCCTGGTTCAAAGATGTGTTGTCAGGACACAGCTGATGACATTATTTCTGTAGGAAAAGCTGTTGACCAAAGTGCACGATACCAAAAGATGAATACTTGTAATAAACACAAAGAGTAAAGAACTAACGTTAACAGAAAGAAGCTCAGTCAAAGGTTGAGACCTTCTGTCACATGTTATCTGACTAACTCCACGTGGGAGCTGAAAGGTAATGAGGAGCTATCTAAGTGAAAGCACATGAAATCAACTCACCAGTTTATAAAACTGCAGGGGTACATGCTCTGAGAGATAAATGCCTATCCTTTAGAATTACCGACACAGTGAGGTGGATTGAGAACTGTCTGAATGGCAGAGCTCAGAGGGTTGTCATCAGCAGCGCTGAGTCTAGTTGGAGGCCTGTAGTTAGTGGTGTCCCCCAGGGGACAGTACTCAGCCCAGTCTCATTCAACTTATTCATCAATGACCTGGACAAAGGGACAGAAAGCACCCTCAGCAAGGTTGCTGATGACACAAAAGTGGGAGGAGTGGTAGATACACCAGAAGGCTGCACTGCCATTCAGCGTGACCTGGATAGGCTGGAAAGCTGGGCAGAGAGGAACCTGATGAAGTTCAACAAAGCCAAGTGCAGGGTCCTGCACCTGGGGAGGAACAACCCCATGCACCAGTACAGGCTTGGAGCGTACCTGCTGGAGAGCAGCTCTGCAGAGAGGGACCTGAGTGTCCTGGTGGATGGCAAGTTGACCATGCGCCAGCAGTGTGCCCTGGTTGCCAAGAAGGGACATGGTATCCTGGGGTGCATTAAGAAGAGTGTGGCCAGCAGGTCGAGAGAGGTTCTCCCCACCCTCTACTCTGCCCTAGTGAGGCCCCATTTGGAGTACTGTGTCCAGTTCTGGGCTCCCCACTTCAAGAAAGATGAGGAACTACTGGGGGGAGTCCAGTGGAGGGCTACAAAGATCATTAGGGCACCGGAGCATCTCTCCTCTGAGGAAAGGCTGAGGGAGCTGGCCTTGTTCAGCCTGAAGAAGAGAAGGCTGCAAGGCGACCTAATAAATGCTTACAAATATGTGAAGGGTGGGTGTCAGGAGGATGGGGCCAGACTCTTTTCAGTGGTGCCCAGTGATGTGGAGTCTCCTTCTCTGGAGATATTCAAGACCCGCCTGGACGAGGTCCTGTGCATCCTGCTGTAGGTGACCCTACTTTGGCAGGGGTGTTGGACTAGATTACCTCCAGCGGTCCCTTCCAATCCCTACCATTCTGTGATTCTGTGATCTTGAACACATCTGAGAATGATCAGAGACCTAAGTGGGAGCATTTGAAAGGGCAAGGAAAAAGCTTAAGCTTGGCCCTAGTCTTAAATTCATTTAGTCTTCTAGAGCAAGAAGATAAACAGTGCAGCTTACAAGCAGGCACCAAGGGATACAGACGCCCATAGCACTTCTCAGGAGGTTCATAAAAGGCTCACACAGATGTGTCCAGGCACAACAGGAGCTGGTGGCTATAGGCTTTGAAAGGTATTAAGTTCATTAGCTCTAGCCACAAAAAGAAAAGGTAATCTCATCACAGGAGATTATTTTTATTAAGGAAACCAGCGATTCTTTCAAACAGCAAACATGATGTTATTGAAATTCCAGCATCAATACATGGAAATGTGCTCCTGTCTGAGAAAGTCATTAGTGATGACAAGTACGCGGAGCAGGAAACAGCTTCCACGGTTCAGGCAGATTCTGAATCTTCACTAATGGAAGGCATCGGGCAATTGAACAAAGGTGGTGACAAGATGAGTTAGTGGAAGTAAAAGAATCGTGCCAAGCGGTTCAATAGATTTAAATAAAAATCTGATGATTCATCGGCTCTGAGGGATGTATGCGCCAGACGCAAGGCTATAGCAAGGCATCCGGACAAAAGACCTGCTTCCAGAGGTACTCTCCCCAGCTCCCCCCTCGGCTCTCCAAGGCAGCTCTGCCCTGCAGCCGAGGCCTGAGGCCACCCCCGGCCCGCAGCTCAGCACGCCCCTCGCCCTGCCTGCGCGCCAGCTTCAACGAAGCCCCGTGCTTCGAGCATATTTTTGGTATCAGGCCGGGAGTAACGTGTGTTCTGACACCCCCAGGAGCCTCCCAAGCCAAAGCCAAGATGCGAGACCACAGCGCTTTCTGCCGCCAGCCGGGCCCGCCCCAGGGGACACGGTCAGGGCAGGGCAGGGCTGCGTTACGCCTCACGGCAGAGCCGCGGCCAACACGCACGCCTAGGGCAATGGCGAGATCTGCTGCCACTACTGCCCCAGCTCTGCAGAAACGGGATTTCAAGCAAGCTCTGCAGGGGCTGGCAAGGCCGAGGGGGCTCCGATGCGTGACTAAGCGCCTGGCGCGCCTGAGAGCAGGGGCACCAGCCCGCGGACCGCCGGGAGAGCACGAC